TGTGTCGTCGTGTCGTTTTCTGTTGTTTCGTTTCTTTCGGTTCTTCGTCTGTCGTTTTTCGTGTCATCATATTTCTGTTCGTCCTCTGTTGTTTCGTCACCTAATCTGTGAGGGGACCGGGCGGTCTGTATCAAAAGAAACGGTGCCATTCGGCTTCAAAGTGGTGTCCGCTGGCTGGTGTTTCATCCGCCTCTATTCCATCCGCTTTGGTTTTGTCCGCGTTTGGTTCATCCGATTTCGCATGGTGTTGTTTCATCCGCTGTTGATTCGTCTGCATGTGTTTCGCCCACTCTTGTTTCATCCGCTTTTGATTTGCGCAGACTGGGGCGTATTGAGGCGCTCCTGGTTTACAAGGGGATGCGCCTCTTTCGGAAGAGTTTGCGGCAGACTCAAGGATTGCCCCGAGAGAACCCGCGTGGGCATTCTGAAGATCTGTACAATGCTGACTGTACAGAATTCGAAGGGCATGAGGTTCCTGGTGCTTCGTTTGTTTTCGTGTCGTTGTCTTTCATTGCCGTCTGTGCCGTGTTGTTATATTTCTTTTCGGTCCCTTTCGGTTCGTCCTCTGTCGTGTCGTTCTCTTTCGTTTTGGTTTCTTTCGATTTGTGCACGTTCGGTTGGCCCTGTATTGTTTCGTATGTCTTCGCTTCGTTATGTGTCGATTGGTTTCTTTCGTTTCGTCGTCCTTCGTTTCCGTTTCATGTCGTTTCGTCCTCTTTTGTTTCGGCCCGAATATATGAAGAGTCTGGGGGCTACTGTATCAAACGAGGCAGTATCAGTCGGTTTCACTGTTTTTCTTGACCCTGTTAGTTTGCGCTGGCTGTTGTATTACCCACTTCTTTTTCATCCGCTCTGATTTGTCTGCTTCTGATTCATCGACTTTCGCCTGGTTTTGTTTCACCCACTTTCGATTCGCTTGCATGTGTTTCGCCCGCATTCGTTTCATCCGCTGTTGATTCGCCCGCTTTGGTTTCGTCCGCTTCTGGTTCGCCCGCTGGAGGCGACTTGAAACTGATGAATTCCAACTCGGGCGAATTGAAACAGGATGGATTCAAATCCAGTCGAATTAAAACGGGATGGGTTTACGAATGCGAAATAAGTCGGGCGAACCCATGCTGGGCAAATCACAGCGGGCTCGAGGAATAAAACCCGAGCAAATGAAAACAGGGCGAAGGTGAATCCAAGCGCATGAGAACCCGATGAATTCAAACCCGGGCGAGATGAAACCCGGATGAATTTACACGGGTGAACCGAAACGGGTGAACCGAGACGGGTAAAACCAGAAGGGTGAATCGAAACGGGTTAAGTTGATTCCAGGTGATCCAAAACAAAATCGCCTCTTCCTCCTTCTCCCTTGTTCTTTGAGGGTCGGCGGAATGGCGTAAGCCTCTTGAAGATAAAATATACGTCCGGAGGTGACATGCTGAACGGCAGCGTTTTCTGGTGAACGTCCTAGCGCAGCGTATTCATTGTATCCAATACTACAGAATTATTACAAACACGTACCAAAACGTATGGGAAATGAGTGATATCGGCCTCCTGGGGCCTTCTGGGGGCCCAAGAGGGCTTCAAGACGGCTCAACGCAGCTTCCCGAAGGCCCAAGACGGCCCCACGACGGCCCAAGATCGCCCCAAGAGGGCCCAAGAGGCTCCCAAGACAGCTCTGGAGGGCCACAAGGAGGACACCTAAACCACAGAGGTCAAAAATATAGGTGTTTCTTCTAGTTTTGCAAAACTGTAGCGTTCTAGCCTTTTTTCTATTATCTGGGGTCCATGACGGCCCAAGCGGCCTCCAAGATGGCCCCGAGACGACCACAGCGGCCCCCAAAGAGGGCCCCAAAGCGGCCCAAGAGGCCCCAGGATGGCCCACAGAGGCTCCAAGAAGGCCCAAGAGCCCCCAAGACGGCCCAAGAGGACCCTAGCAGAGCCACAAGGCGGCCCCGAGAGGCCCCCAAGACAACCTCAGAGGGGGCCAGACGGCGAAAGAGCGCCCCAAGACAGCCCAAGACGCCCTGAGTCCCCAAGAGGCCCCAAGGGGGCCAACAAGAAGCTTCCAGGGGTCCCTAAGAAGCTTCCAAAATGCCCCAAAGAAGCCCCCAAAGGGCCCAAAGAAACCACCAAGAGGCCCGCGGAATTGTATACGAATGGCGCGCGTTGTTGCTATGTCC